GAGCTTTTTTCCAGCGGGTTTCATTATAACAACATCCAGGGGAAACACCACAAGTTAGTGTGACAAAAGAATATGTACCAGGATGCCTATGGAGTGACGGAAGAAGCCTTGCAGTTAGCCTATTACTTTCCATTTCAAATTCAACAGCTGAAATCTACCAACTAAATGTATGACATTGGAAGTATTCCACCCTGCAATGTTCAGTAGGGAATGGATTCCCAAGCCCCATAAGAGAATATTATTATTTCTTTACTCTTCCGATTCACTTCCACAGATCACTGAAATGTAGCAAAACAGAGGCAAGGTTCCCCCCCCCCCCCATTTATTAAAGTTGTGGGGAGGGAGAACCCTTCATCTAGTTTTTTAAAAAGAGGCTTTATTTCCTACGTGCCATGAGACAAAGATCTCAGATAATTTTCTTTGTTCCGTGATGTGTACCCTGAACAATTACTGTGGGACAATGAATGCCTCTGACAGACAGCCTGATGAGATTACAAATCATTTCAATGCGCAGGTTTTCAGAAAAAGTCTAAAGAGGCACAACGAGAGGGAAACATGAGACTTACAGTGCCTGAATGAATAGCTCAGAATATATCTATGTTCCTATCTAAGAATTTGTGTCTATTTAAGTATCTATATGTATGTAAAGAGCTGCCCAAGACATTTTGGCACCTTAGGTGAATCGCAAAATGGTGCTCTCCCCACCTGGGAAGAAGGGGCAAGTGAAGATCTTCATCAGGAACAAAGGGGGAATAAAGATCTACATTGGAAACAAGGGTGGGAGAATACCAGCAGTGCCACTATTAGCCAAGAGGCCACTGTACCAGTAGCATGCGGCCAGGAGTTGCCAAGGAGGTGAGCCACAAAGAGTGAGCCACCGCTGTTGGTGCCACTGCAGCAGTAGTAGGCAATGCGATTCATTCATCTGCTGCCCTTGTGGAGCCTGCTGCCCGAAGCGGTCACCTCATCTTCCTCATGAGAGGAAGTGTCATGTGTCTTTATCAATATCTATGTCTCTATATAAGGGATGCGGGCGGCGCTGTGGGTTAAACCACAGAGCCTAGGACTTGCCGATCAGAAGGTCAGCAGTTCAAATCCCTGCAATGGGGTGAGCTCCCATTGCTCGGTCCCAGCTCCTGCCAACCTAGCAGTTCGAAAGCACGTCAAAGTGCAAGTAGATAAATAGGTACCACTCTGGCGGGAAGGTAAACAGCGTTTCCGTGCACTGCTCTGGTTCGCCAGAAGCGGCCTAGTCATGCTGGTCACATGACCTGGACCAGCTCCCTCGGCCAATAAAGTGAGATGAGTGCTGCAACCCCAGTCGGCCACGACTGGACCCAATGGTCAGGGGTCCCTTTACCTTTATGTCTCTATATCTTCATATTAGATCAGAGCGCCAGTTTAGTGACTTCAAATTGTGTATGCCCCATTCTCTGAAACATTGGACCATGGGATTTAGAAGTATAAGAGGCACACACAACCATATTACCTGTGAGGGATAGTCAACATGGGGCCATCCAGAGGTTGTTGGACTGTAAGTCCCATAAGCCCAGGCAGCCTGGCCAGTGGTCAGGAATGATGGGAGTTGTTAAGTCTGACAACGTCTGGAGAGCAGCAGGTTGTCTCCCCCTGCTCTGAGCTCATAGTCGGGGTCTCAAAGCACCGGAAGGGTGAAAATGGGGCTCCTGACATTGTGACATCAGGGAATTGACAGCAACCCTACCCACCTTCAAATGTGACCTGAAGGGTTAAGGATCCCACCCACTGGGCCCAGTTCCCCACTACTGCTCTAAGATGACACAACTTGCTTTGGCTTTGAAGGAGCGTTCAGGATTTTTATCAAGCTGGTAAGGCCAACATTAGAAAGCCACATGCAAAACCCTTCCCTCACTTATTACGCTGTTTATCGTTTATTAAGGAGAGGGGAAAGGAATGCCTGATAAAATCAAATCAACTGGTTAGTCAACGTTGAAATGACAGTTTCCTTACTTGAATAGGCGCTGAAAACCATCCCTGTGGAGGTTCAGTGGAGCAGCAAGTTAATTTATTTATTCATTTAGATATTAAGAACACCTATCTCATACCCTGAGCTGCATACATACATCAAACAGACACAATTGGTTCTAATCTTCAATACACAATTGAACTATAGGAAAACCAGATAGTGAAATGTGCAATTTCTACGCCAAAGAAGGGTGTGTGCATAAAAGGGGGGAGTGTTGCACATGTTTGGCTTTCAAATGCTGATCAGTATTTAGACTAGACTGGCTCTCCTCTGATTCTATGATATGCTTTTAGCTTTTTGCATTTTATTTGTGTTGTTTTAATTTGTGTAAGCCACCTTGAGTCCCAGCCAGGGGGAAAGGCAGGATATAAATGAACAAGCAAGCAAGCAAATAAATAATAAATCTGATCATGGCTAAATTGTAGATTCACCATTTCCAGACCTCCCTTAAATCTCTCTCCTCTTATCTACTTTTCTGGTATAATTTTGTCCACGAGTAAATAAGAGGGTCGCAATCACAACCAACATTTAGAATGGGCCTGATGTGTTTGAGCAAATCTGGTAAAATACAACTGCATGGCCGTGAGTATCATTTGTAAGACAATATGGTTAGAAAGAACCCAGAAAGCTGTCAACTACAGCTACATTCACCCAGGAAGAATCTTGCATTGCCAGCTCCCATAACTCAGCACAGGCCTGGACTTTAAAGCTGTACGTCTAAGCCTTATTGTTTTCGTCCTGTCGTTTTCCCCGGGAAAACCTGCCATTCACCGTTGAATCAGAGCAAATGGCAATTAGGTTTACCATGGATTACTGTTTGCTCCGATTCAGTGATAAAACACGGGCTTTCCCAGGGAAAGCTCTGGGACAAAAAAATACCCCAATGCTTGGACATGGAGCTTTAAAGTAAAGACCTAGGTTTGGAAAGCACAGTGCAAAGGGAAGTCTGGATGAGCCAAATAGTCCACAAAAGAGAGCATCTCGTCATGAGGCTCCTGGTTTAAGATATTCCCTCTCATCTCGATCTTCCTCACAGGGTTGTTGTAAGACAAAACACAGCTGTGATGGAAGAAGAAACACAAATGCAAGAATCAAACGAATTAAACCTTTTTCTTTCTTTCTTTAGTGAGAGAGATTTCACACACAAACTTAATCTGCTGTCTCTGCTCCACGTTTATTCTGGCGCCCAAGGAACCTCGCGGATGACAGCACCATGCGAATGCCAAATTGTTCTCATATCCCTTCCGCCTGCCATGATATGTCCCCTCTAGGTCCAAGCCACTTCATTTCCCCCAGCGCTTTACGTACCCTTATCATCAGAACAGCTTTCCTTATGTCGCGAACTCCATCATAAACCAAGCGGGAGGCGTCTATGAACTCGTTCTCTTCAAACGGCTGTGGGACGTTCGCACTCAGGGCTTCAATGGCAACTTCAACTTGTTCGGCAAAACGTGGCATAACTAGATTAAACCAAAAGAAAAGCTGTGAGAACACAGGCTGCCTTTCATGTATTCCACACTCCCTCCCTTCCTTGCCCTTGGGCTTCAATACTTTCCAGCAGGCCCGGAATTAGCGGCTGCCGCAGAAATCAGGAAACAAGGAACTTTGCCGAAGAGTTTCACACCAACAGGGGAGAGGTGTGCGGTTCTCTGAGGGGAATGAAACAACCTCTTGTTCTATCAACACAGAGTCTACGTGACAAAGAACTTGCAAACTTATGATGGCGTGGCTTCAAGTCAGGGGGAAAAAAATTGGTCCCAAACAGCTACAACTCCTATGTCAAGTGAGACTGTTCTCTCAGCCTCACTACTCCAATCTGTAATATGGGGGTGCTAATCCCGACATCCCTGTCAAGAGTATTGTCACAGGTGTTGACATAATGTATGCAAAGTGTTTTGAGAACCTTAAAATGACATAGACATGCCAAGTAAGTAGAAGGGCTTGACTCAGGGAGACAGTGAAGTGTAGTGGTTAGAGTGTCAGACTAGGACCTGGCAGGCCAAGGTTCAAATCTCCACTCGGTCCTGAAGTTCCCTGGGTGACCTTGGGTCAGTTACTGCCTCTCAGCCTAAACTACCTCACGGGGCTGTTGTGGGGGTGGCTGTTTTAGTTTAGATTGGATCAGTACAGCCAGTAGTTCATAATTTTATTATCTGAAATTAAATAAGTTAAATTAAAATGTACATAATGTGGTGGTGGATAATAGTAATAGTAATATTGCTACCTCTGCTAGTTTTCTGTTTGTCAACGTCCATGCCATGTAAAAAAAGAAAAGCAATTTACTGTACACCGTCACAAACCATGCCAAGCGAAAACTGCAGGTAGGCAGGCCAGAGGCTGTTTTTATTGAACTGAACAATAGTCATCTTGGCTACTCCATATCATGTCTGTAAAATGACAATTTGAACTTACAGAACACAGAAGTCTTAATTTGTGAAAAAATGAGCCAAGAAACCTTCTGCCCACTGTCATTTTAACTAACAAACCACAGCGTAGCTCGCCATGAACAAGGACAACGGTTGTTCCTTACAACGATGAACCCTGATGCACGAGAAGTACACGGAAGACCCACCAGTTTCTTATTTCCAGCAGTGTGTAGAGCATGAAAGATGCTAATGGTTATCCGTGAGCAGTTCCCAATATTAATGGTTGGGGCGTGCATACATAGTTTATGAATATATGCATAATGGTCACATTCAATATTTATTTCAGCAATATATACCCTTGCTCTGGCTTTTTCATAGCTGGAAAACACACACACACAAATCTTAGAAGACTTCTCTGCTGACTTGCACAGAAATGCTAATAGCAATGAACAATCCTGTGAAAATGGGGATCGTAAGGACAGGAACTTGTTTGCACACAGGGCTAATGTCCAGCATTAGTATACTCTGTGTGGGGGAACCAATGCAGGCCAGTGTTGTCTACACTGACTGCGCAGAGACTCTCTGGGGCTCCAGGCAGGTCCTCTCCCATTGGGGATTGAACCTGAATCTGAATCCATTGGGGATTGAACCTGAATCTTTCTGCATGCAAAACAGATGCTCTACCACTGAACCACAGCCCTTCTTTTTCTGAGATGCACCCAGGTTCCCTCTACATTCTCCTGTTTCTTAATTTGTCCAACTTCTTTTGCCCACTTCCACTTCCTCCCGGAAACTTAAGTTGTGCAGGATGCAATAAAAGGGGATTTTAAAATTTCCGAAAACCGTGATGAGAATGATGCTGGTATAAAGACTTTACAGGCCAAGCTGGCAGCTGAGAGGCCTACATAATGAACCTCTTCCACCTCCCTTGATATGCTCTTTAATAAATGCTTTTCAAAAGTCGCATTATCTTAATGATCAGGTTATGGTGCTAACATATTTAGAAGTGACGATAATGTGCATTCAGTTATTGTTTTTTGGAGTGAAAAAATACCCCCAAAGCACACTTTGCATTCTTTAAAAGACAATACGGTTGTTTGGGGGCAGGGTGCTGTTCCTTTATGTTTGGAAGAACAAAGTGGCAGCAACTTTGAACCCCCTCCTTTCACATTACTGAGCTCTTTGCATGATTCGAGACACTTGCTTTGTGCACAGTTTGGCAGGAGCAGCTCTTACATTAAATGTTATGCTCCGAACATGACTCACTGGAGTAAAGCCTGCTACAGGACTTAATCTATCTAAAATGAAATTAATTTTGCCAGCCTTCCTCTCTCTGCTGACATACTTTATAATGCCTCAGTGGGCACATCTTTCCCAGCGCTGCCTTCTTAGTCTGTGTGCTCAGCGTGTCGACACCTGCCATTTTGGAAAGGGGCTACCTAAAAGAGAGGCGGGGAGAGGCTGGCACACTTTTACAAATTCCTGTACTTACCTGCAGCTGGCACAGTTTTAACAGAATCAAGGAAATGTAGAGGTGGAAGAAACCCCAAGGGTCATCTACGATACGATACGATATGATACGATAATCTTTATTGTCAATGTCCCATACAGAACAACGAAATTGGGGGGAAAAAATCTACATAAGACATTCAAAACCAACAAGCCTGCTATCCCAGCCTGGTTAGCCCTCTAAAAACTCTGATACCCCATTTTTAAAATACAATATACTCCCATAGAGACTCCTTACACTGCGTTTAAAACCAAAATCGCATTTGGATAGAAACTGTTTCTTAGGCAGCTAATCCTAGTCTTTATAACCCTGTACCTTCTTCCAGAAGGCAGAAGCGGAAAGAGATCATTTCTGGGGTGCGTACTATCCTGCACTATCTCTGCAGCTTTCTTATGGCACCTGGAAGAATAGATTTGATCCAAGGTGGGAAGAGTGCACCCAATTATTCTCTCCACAGTCTTTACAACCTTGGAGAGCATTGTTTTTCTCTTGACCGTGCAGCTCCCAAACCACACACAGAGACCATGTTGATATAGTCCAACCCCCTAAAATGTTGACTCCTTGTGTCTACTCCCCCTTTGTGATTTCCCCTTTCTTCCATCTCTTATACACGGCCTTCTTAAATCTCAGCTCATCTGTAAAATCCTTATGCATCCACACCTGTTTCCTTAGATGCCTCCCAATTTTCTTTCTTGTTGGTTTAAAATTGCTGCACTAAAGCGGTGGAGGAAGAATGGGGAATGCTTGCTGAGTGCAGCATCAGGGAACGGGGCCTGTGCTGTGACACAGAGATGGAGGGATGAGAGATGGGGCCAAACTGGCTAATGGGGCAGAAGGGGTGGATAGTAGCTGCCTAGTTTAAATGGCATGCTTTTGCTCGACTGCCTAAATCCATAGGGCCTATAAGCTTTATTAACTAGAAACCCCAATACAGTATCTGGAATCCCCTTGAAACTGGTGCCAAAGTTTTGTAATCATTTTGTAGCAAAACCCCTGCATTTTGTAGCACCCCACAGACAGAGGAATTGAACATTCAAACCGGGGTTCGTAGTTAACACCCAACGTTGTCTGATCTCCTTGAAACTAGTGCCAAAGTTTTGCAACTGTTTTGTAGCAAAACCCCACATTTTGTAGCACCCAGCAAATGGAGCGATTTGCACTCAAAATGGGGGTCATGGATATGACCCCAAAACCCAACATTGTCTGGTTCCATCCAAGCTGGCACAAAACCGTGGCAAACGTTTTGCAGCGGAAACCCCACATTTTGCAGCGCTCCACAAACTGGGCAATACACCCTCAAAACCAGGGATCACAGGGTCACCCCAACACCCAACGTCGTCCAATTCACTTCACACTGGCACAAAACTTTGGCAAGAGATTTTCAGAAAGCACATCAAGGAATACATGAAACCAGAGTTCCAGGTTAATGCGAGAGTTGTGCTGTTTTCAACCTTATTGTCCTGAACTCACCCACCCACATTTTTTACAACCCCCAAAGTGGGGGACTGCCTTTCTCAGTGTGTGGGGCCATTCTAGACTTACCCTACTTTGTTTTTCAATGCATGTATCAGACTGGTGCGCAACCACTAAACAGCAGGGCAACTAACTATCTCGCAAATTCACATTCTGGGTAATACCCCCTTCCATTTTTGTTTTATTTTAAGATGTATAGTAACTGTGGACCACATATCATTTCTCTTCCCTCGTGGCCCCATTAACGTTCTGTTCTCCAGACACAGCAACCAGCCACAACAGGCACTTTTGGTCTAACATCAGCTTTGATCCAAGCACTGAAGATTCACGGAAATCAAAGAGCAGAGCAGAAACTGGTTGGGGAGGGGCAAGTTCCACATGTTTTATGGCCCCATGTGCTTTATGGCCTTCTAGCTCGGCCATATGCAGAAGACCAGGGAAATTGCAGCCCAAGGCACAGCAATAAGAGACGAAAGCACTGAATATTTTAAAGGGATTATTTACTTGATGCAGCTTGAGAGCTCTGCCAGCACCCTGGAAATATGCATGGGAAAATGTGCACTTTAAATGCTTCTACGTTCTATGCAGTGCAACAACTTGAAACAATGCAGGGCATGAAAACCAGCATTTGAAACACCCGCCCGCCCCCTCCAAAAAGGGTTTAATCTGAATATATTCCCCTCCTTCATTTCTTTATTTGAGTATTTACAAATGGCAGTTTCATCAACATGCAACGGCCGTGTACAATGAAATCATTAAAGCCATAAAACACAGAACAAATTGTATATTTGATTTTATGATAATATAGAAGGGTACTTTGTGACTGAGTGTTCTACCAATTCATTTAAAGAAAAATAAACAAATAGGAAAATGACCGAGACTTGAGTCACTGGTGCCACTACCCTACAAGCCTTAAAAGGTAAAGGTACCCCTGACCATTAGGTCCAGTCGTGGACGACTCTGGCGCGCTCAACTCACTCTATAGGCCGAGGGAGCCGGCGTCTGTCCGCAGACACTTCCGGGTCATGTGGCCAGCATGACTAAGCCTCTTCTGGCGAATCAGAGCAGTGCACGGAAATGCCGTTTACCTTCCCACCAGAGCGGTACCTATTTATCTACTTGCACTTGATTTGCTTTTGAACAGCTAGGTGGGCAGGAGCTGGGACCGAACAACGGGAGCTCACAGGTGATCACAGTGATGTGGCCAATTTATTCTGTCTGGCACCTCTCTCTCTCTCTCTCTCTCTCTCTATATATATGCATAAATTGATCTAACTGACATTTAAGCACACAATGTATAAAACAGACAATATACATAATTTGGACCTTTTTACACCACAAATTAAAAGTGACCATAAAAGATATGGGGTTGTAGCCAACTAAGTGCAGAGAAGACTCATTGAAACTAAACAATAGTCAGCAACAGTCAGTCCTTGCAATGGGTCCACTCTGAGTAGGACTATTATGGGCTACAACCCCGAGGAAAGTGCTCTATCATATTGCTATTTATATCACACCCCCTCTTAACTACTAGCCAGTGGAATGAGGGCCCTAAAAAGAGGCTTGCCTACCACAGTGTTTTTTGGGTGCTGAAAGAAAAACCTCCTTTTTCTGCCAGGCTTTTTAACACCTCTTAGAACACTTTAATGATATTTTAATACCATCTAATTTTAGTCTGTTTCACCAGCTGGGTGAGTTTGAGCCTTCACAGTGGAGTTTTTAGAGTTGCATTTGGCTTAAGCTCTACGCAAAGGAGACCCATTGCAATCTTCTATGGACTGTAGCAGGCCTTAGTTGGATTCAACCATAGATTTTATATGACTGTGATGATTGAGTTAATCATTCTACTTGTCCTTTCTGCAAAGGCAGCCAAGGTGGCAAACCATTTGTTGCTGTTGGTTAGTTTTATTCTGAACAGTTTGTATTTTGCTGTGTTTTTAAATTGTTTGCTTTTGCTTTTTATGTCATTGTACATCATCCAGAGGCTTGCTTACAGCATGAGGCAATTGATAAATACGTATAATTATTAATGGCAATAATATAGATATGATCAAAAGAAACACCCAAAGGTAAATGGAAAAACCCAAATCCAAGACAATACAAATCATGTTGAAGGGAAACTAGCACACAAGCAACAACAGATTTCAGAGCTATTTGTATCAATTCAGAATGAATTCTTTTCTGCTCCAACTGGCACTTTCCAAAGAGGAAAAAATTCATCTCTGGCAACACAACACTGCCCACATGGAAATGTAATTATTTGAAACTGAAAATGACCCAACTGGTTATCAAGACCACAGAGTTCTTTTATTGGGGGGGGGGGATGCCTTCGTTTCTGAATTATAAGGGGGGAAATGAAGAATTAAACACGACATTTTATTTAGCTTGGAGTGTTTGGCAAAGTCTCATTCTATGAGGACGGTAAATTCCATGCTAGAGGGTTCTAAATATTTCATGCAAGTTTTATTACATTTAAATCTGATATAAAAGGCTTTGTGTGGCTAATTTCCAACATTTTGAGCCTGATTGTTATGGGCATAATTAAAAGAAAGCATGCTTTTAACAGTAGTGCCATAACAGTATTACACGATTTGGCACTGGCAATTAATCTAGTATGTATTCAACATCCACATATATATCACAAATATTCCAAAGGTTGCCAGTTGGAAATTGATATACAAGTCCTTCTGGGATTCAACAAATTTCACTATAAAT